CCCTGCCGGAGGGCCTGCCCGACTACAGCAGGCAGACCCCGGTCGTAGAACACCATCCGTCAGGACCACACTACATACACGCGTGTGCGCGCCCCCCGCCCAGTGCCCCGTTTCCGGTCTGGGCCATACCTGACGCGCACCGTGGCATGCAGCCAGACACGGAGTCAGCTAAGCCCTGGCGCATTGCTGCATCCGGCCCAGCGCGGATGTGGGGCCCATCTGCTGAAGATGTAGCCATGGTGACAGCCGCGTTCCCGGTCTAAGGTGCCTCGTCCCACCTCTGGTAACCCCGTGGCGCACTGCACTGACGTTTCCGGTCTGGGCCATACCTGACGCGCACCGTGGCATGCAGCCAGACACGGAGTCAGCTAAGCCCTGGCGCATTGCTGCATCCGGCCCAGCGCGGATGTGGGGCCCATCTGCTGAAGATGTAGCCATGGTGACAGCCGCGTTCCCGGTCTAAGGTGCCTCGTCCCACCTCTGGTAACCCCGTGGCGCACTGCACTGAGAGCGTCCCCACCCCTGCCTCCCTGTCCCAGCCAGGACAGCACGGCCTCGTACAGCCAGTGCACGCCCCTGCCCCCGCCACCCCTGCACCGACGCCCGGAGCACGCACTGGCCGCCGGCCGGCTCTTCGTGGTACCTGCGGAAGTCCAGGAGTGGCCTCGTGGAGGGAGGGACTCCCTGGTCATACCAAGTCAGGAAGTGGAACTGGGTCACCGTGCGTGTCTCGTTGGTCTGCAGGTTCTTCAGGTAGAAGCTCCTCACCAGGAAGTCCTCGCACCAGGTGTGCTCAGAGACCAGGTGCACCTGGCGGGCAGAGCGGGCAGGGCGGCCTCTGAGCAAGACGGTGAGCACTACAGCCGTGGCCTGCTTGTCGGGTGGGTCTGCGTGGCTAGGCGGCCCTCCCACTCCCACGGGCACTGGATCCTGCACGTGGCTGTCTGGGGTAGTCTCTGTGTGGAGCCGCTCAGGGGCTGGTGCTCACAGGAGGGAAAAGGCTACAATCGAGACGGCCCGGTTTCCCCTCTGTATCTCTAGGTCATGTAAACATTCACAGAAAGTCCAGAACAGTCTAGAAGTTACGCTCTCGGGCAGCCACAGACACAGCCGTGCGTCCTGCCGATGGTGCCACCATGGTGGGGCTCATGATGGCGTGCTCCTGGGCATGAAAAGCCATGGTGCCCGTGGCGGCCATGCGGGCCTGAGCACTGCCAAGGCCTTCCCATGCGGGCACCTGTCTGCAGTGGGCAAGGCCTCTGTGGGTGGCGGAGGGTCCCTGCTTAGGCTCTAGGGCTGCCTGTCATGGGCGCTGGTGGTCTGAGTAAGGTCAATGCCAAACAGAACCATGGGTGCCCTGTGCCCTCGACTGTGTGCCACGTTCTCGCAGCGTCTCCTCGATCGGGCGGAACACCCAGCCAGAGCGAGGTGTATCAGCAGACAGCCCCACATAGGTCAAACGGGGTTAGCGCATGCCACCAACCAGCCACGGGAGGCCACGGCCCAGGTGGGCAAGTCGGGAAGTGCTTAGGACAGTGGCTGGTTCCTTTAAAGGGGGCCCCACAGAAAGGCTGTGGGCCCGGCTCAGAGGGCCACGGTGCATGGTCAGGTCTTTTACCTTTCCTCTTGCTGGTCAGATTTATCAAATTTAAAAGCTAGAAAACAAAACACGGGCCAGCCAGTGGCCTGGTGCTTCCGCCGGCTGGACCCTGAGTGACCAGGTGCATGGCTGAGTCCTAGGGCTGGTGGCTTGGGACCATACCAGGCACACGTGCGTGGGGCCACAATCCTGAGAAGGAGCGGAGGAGGGGCTGCAGCGTGGCCACCCCCGGGGGTACCTCTCACTCTCTCTCCCCCTGTCTCCAGTGAGCGCACATGCCCTAGGGCAAGTGAAAGAAGTGAAAATGAGAAATGCAGTTTACCTCGGGGTCCACTCACAGCCACACGTGACAGTGGGAAGTGCCCGAGTCCCACGTGGTGGTGAGACACCAGGGGACACGCCGCCACCTGTCCTCTGAGGACCAAAGGCGCCGACCTTCCCTCCCCGGCCCGCCAAGAGGGGCAGGCCCAGCTGCTAGTGACAGGGCTGCGGGCCCAGCCGCATGCAGCCAGCCACGGGCAGGCGCCCTCCCCAGTACCTCGTAGATGTGGTAGAGGTTGGAGCCTTCGCCGGGCCAGTAGTGGTAGCACTGCCGGACGCCATTCTCCGTGAGGGGGGTCAGCATGACGATGACCACGCAGCCGCTCTCCCACACCATCTGCAGACAGAGACCGTGGCCAGTGTGACTACCGTGGGACCTGGCGCTCAGCCACGCTGCCAGCACCGGCACTGGCTTCATTTCTGTCTGACACTCGGACTCCGCAATTGCCAGGTGTCTTGAGCACACGGGCCTGGGTCCGCACGACCCGGGAAAGGTTAGAAACCCAGCATGGTCACCCACACCCCCACCGCCCCCTGGCTCGCGGATCGGCTGCATGACTCCCTCACTGTGGACGCCACGCGGTTCAGGCAGACAGCGTGCAACTGACGCCGTGTGAGCGTCCATGCCCGGCGCGCTGCTGCCGCCAGTGTGCTCGGGGGGCGGCCGGCCCTACCTTCACAGCCACCGAGGGGCCACCGAGCTACCAGGAGCTGCTCAGGTCTCACTCCGTCACAGAGCAGGGCTTACCCCGGAGTCCGTCTACTCACGCCGGGCTGCACATCGGGACTGCACCCGGCTGCACCGAACCTCACCACCGGAATCCAACCCGCCTGCACCAAACCTCACCACCGGAATTCTATACACTTGTACTGAATCTTACCACTGGAACTGCATCCACTTATACCAAAGTTACCACCAGAATCCCACCCACTCATACCGAAGCCACCACCAGAATCCCACCCACTCATACCGAAGCCACCACCACAATCCCACCCACTCATACCGAACCACCCGACCCACTCATACCGAAGCCACCACCAGAATCCCACCCACTCATACCGAAGCCACCACCAGAATCCCACCCACTCATACCGAAGCCACCACCAGAATCCCACCCACTCATACCGAAGCCACCACCAGAATCCCACCCACTCATACCGAAGCCACCACCAGAATCCCACCCACTCATACCGAAGCCACCACCAGAATCCCACCCACTCATACCGAAGCCACCACCAGAATCCCACCCACTCATACCGAAGCCACCACCAGAATCCCACCCACTCATACCGAAGCCACCACCAGAATCCCACCCACTCATACCGAAGCCACCACCAGAATCCCACCCACTCATACCGAAGCCACCACCAGAATCCCACCCACTCATACCGAAGCCACCACCAGAATCCCACCCACTCATACCGAAGCCACCACCAGAATCCCACGCACTCATACCGAAGCCACCACCAGAATCCCACCCACTTATACCGAAGCCACTGGAACTGCACTGACTTAGGCCGACATGCCACAAGGCCTCCTGAGTGAGTCAGCCCCGCTGACTGCAAACTCCTAAGAACTCCGTTGAGGACGGCCCCAAGACCCGAGAATCAGGGACACACGTCTAAATGAGGAGGCATGACGGCTGTGCGAGCCCTTCACCGCCAGCTGGCAGAGCTTGGGGTGCCGTGGCTCCCTTGCGGGATCCCTGTAGTAGAGCTCAAGCCAGTTGTGCACATGCCACGGCGCAGGCCACGGCACAGAGGCCTGCAACATGGGCCCCAGGGGCGGCCCAGAGGAACCGAGGAGCAGCTGCATTTAATGTGGGTCAGGTGCCCAGGGACTGTGTACAGGAAACACAGAAACGCAGCTAGCCTGGGTATCTCACAGACCCACCCTCAGGTACTAGACGCTCTCATTGTTCCTGAGACTAAATCCCTCGTGCTGTATTTTAGGAGTCGGACGTGAGCACCAGGTTTCCCTCGGTATCAACCTCGGCTGCAGATGGAGAGCCTCCTCCCTGAGACACCGGCAGCCGGGCCCTTCTGTGGGGCCCAGAGGTATTCGCAAGTGTCTGGGGAGAGCCCACGGGCCGGGCTGGCGTGCACCACTCCAGACGTGCTTGCCCTGCGAGCGGTCGCAGCGGGCTTCTTACTGGGAGCTCGTCAGGCCCCTGAAGCTGGTGCTCCCACCACGTGACTGTGTAATGTGCCTTTAGAAGGCAGAGGGCCTCACAGAAGCCATTACGAAAAGGAGGAGAAACAGACTTTATGAGTGTACTAGCAGCCCAGTGTGCTAGACCATAAGCTAACCACCCCGCGCTCTGCCGTGCCGCCCGCGTGTGGCATTAGCCCTTGTTGGGAGCAGGCCGTCCACGGCAGCAGCCCCTCTCCTCGGCCTCCCCACCGCCC